TCTTGATCAATTACAAAAGAAATTCATGAATTTTTTTTCTATATACCTTAATGAAACATAGGTGAAATATCTATTGTTTATCAAATTCGCTAGAAATTAAAATTATATAATAACAATGGTAAAATAACTTATATCATTATAAATGTCGGTAATTTCTATAGGCCTAATCCTTCTAAGTTGTGTGAATTTTTTAAAATAAAATAATGTTCTCTTCTATCTTCTTCTTTTTTTAATTAAATATTATGTAATTAAAATATTGAAGAAATACATTAATTTCAATATCTTAATAATAAGTAAAATGAATACTTAATCTATCGTTGACTAATTGAAAAATAAAGTTGAAGAATGTCTAAAAGGGGTTTAATAATAGTTAGATGTAAGCTATTTAAATATATCTCATGATTAGTCATCTTTTAACATAGTTGAAGCTTTTCTTGATTAGCTTCCTCTTGCTCACCATCATTTGTTTAAATCTCTTTACCATCCTACAAACATTCACTAATTAACTAATTCAAGAAGTAAAACCTATAATAAATTTTAATATTCTCTAAAATCTTAAGTACACTCAAGTTTAACTTTAATAATAACAAATAAAAAAATAGAAAACAACAGAAAACACAACAACTAACATTAACTAAATTTAAAGACATTCACTTATAATTTATTATAGGATAAGTCAATTAATTAAAGTGAATATTGTGGAGCAATAACTATAAATAAAGATAATACAATTGTATTAGTTGGTTGTAATAAGTAAATTGAAGTGTTTGAATTTAAATAAGAATAGTTGAAACTAACTCAACTACTAAGTGAAAATACAGGATATGTTCTAACTTTAAATTTTATAAAAAAATAGAATCAATTTCTCTTTGGGAATCGATTTGGATAGATTATTATTTGGTTTATGAATTAAAATAGTTAATGGGAATGCTAATAAATATTAAATAGTCATTATAATTACATAAATTGTTTGATAATAAACAACAATGATGATTTTTATCATATCAGGAATTGATGACTAAACAATAAATTTTGGTAGAAGCAATAGTAATTTGTATTTTAATAAAATATTTCAGATCAAAAATTATGTACAAGGATTAAGTTTAAATGATTAATAAAATAAAGTGATCTCTTGTGGAGAGGATAATTTAATATTAATAATTGAAAAGTCATCGAAAATAATTCTTGTTGATTTTCATAAAATTAGTTTTATAATCCTTATAAGTAATACTATATCAATATGATCTTTAATCGCATTTAGATGTATAAATATCTTTATTTTGGTAATTTTTTGAATGGAATTACTATTAAATTAATAATTTTAATAGAATTAGAAAAGATCTAAGAATAAAATTTCTCTAAAATGTACAATAGAAGAATATTATAATATACTTTAATAAATAATGTAAAGTTATTAGAATTTATTGTCACTAAATAAATATAGTATGAAGTGCATATTGATCATTTAAATGTTTAATATAATGTCGAAGGCTTCATCTAAAAATTAATTCTAATGATTGCAGAAATAAATGAATTATCGTGTTAAGTAAAATAAAAAGTAAGAAAAGCTACCAATTAACAAACTAAATATTGAAATAATTAAATTCAATTAAGCCTTGAATTAAATGATTAAATATCATGAAATATAGTAATTATATTACATAAGAATGAGAAAAAAGTTAGATTACACGGTCACCAAAACTGATTGAAAATTGAATGAATATTTCTTTATTTATAGAAGAATCCAATTATTATAAATTAAAATAAGAATAAAAAGTAAAAGTAGAAGAATGATATTAAAAAAGGTAAGTATGGATAAGTTGAAGATTCAAACTATTCTTTATTATTTAATCAAATCAATATATAATATGAGAATATTTGATAATGCATTATATATCAATACACTTCATCAGTTATTATTATAAGCAAAGAATATATAAAAACATAGATATATTTATTGGCTAATAGTTAATAGATATTCTAAGAAAATTTGAAAATAAGATTGCTTGGAAATTACAATGATGAAATTATTTGGACTGAGTAAGCTCTGTCAATATATTCTAAATATTACAATTCATTATTTGTAAAAGGTATAAAATAAAGGATACATTTATTAGCTTAATTTAAAAATAATTCAAATAAATATATTTGAATACAAAAAGGATTAACAAATATAATGAGAAAATCATATGCGGTGATATAGTTTTATCTCTAGATTTAGAAGATGTCAATTTCAAACGAATGAGGTATCTCTTCTTTTAAAATATAGGTGAATCATTATATTTTATTTAAGAATGTTTAATAAATTTGATGCTTAATTAAATTAATTATTTAAGATTTTAGAGACATTTTAACTCTTTTACTTTTTTTGGAAGTATTATTTAGTAAATTAGATATAAGTTTTCATAAATAAGAATTTGTAGAGTCAATTTAATATTTATATTTTACAAACTAAATTAAGTGTATAAGGTATAAATTGCATGAGTAGGGTAATTATTAATTTAAAAAATCGACTCTATTACTTAAGAAATAGTGGTTGAGTGTACTCTTGAGGTTATTACAATTGAATGTGAACAAATGAAAATCATTTTTGAATAATAATACAATGAAACTAATAATTACAATTCAAAATAAATGAGAAAATAACATTTTGATGTTCATAGTTTTATTATTAATACTTTTAAAGGGATAACTTAACTAAATAATAATGGATCGAGATTAAAATTACAATTTGAAAATTAATTTAACACTACAAATTAAATTTGATTTTTTAATTCCTTATTGTATCTATAAGAAATAATTGTTTTTATTGGATTTTTTATTATATCTAACATAAATACTGAAAAAGAATGAAAAATTAAATGTGAATTTATTGCATATATAATTTTATAAAAATCCATCAAATTTAAAATTCTTTAGAACAATAAATGTTGTATTTATCTAAATTTCAAATTTTTACTATCTTAAATGTATATTTCCAACCAGATACCAACTTTTTTCCCTTTTTACTACTCACCAGTATGAGTTACATTAGAACCTTCATATAATCTATCTGAGACTTCAACTCAATCCCCTAATTTAAATCCTTATTCTTATAATCAACTACTACTTAAAAATATATTAATTATATATTATATATATACATAATTTTATCCTAGCACATAAAACTCAATTTTCCATCTTTATAACCTTATTGATCCAATAATTTTTTATAATTTCTTTCAATAGACTTTATTATTTTTTTCATTAATACTAGTTAGTACATTCACGTAACACTTCAGGCATTTACAAAGTTTTTTTTAGAATCTCTATGAAGATTAATGAACGAAAATTTAAGATATATTAATGACTAAATTTTTAATATGTCAACAGAATTTTTAGTTTGCAAAATCTTGTTAAATGTTAACAATTATATAAAGCTTTGATTTTTTTTCTCTCTTTAAAAAAAAGATATTTTTTAATAAAGAAAAACTATTCAAAGTGTTAGTTTCGCTTAATATAAAATTTATATTTATATCTCCCTTTTTTCCTTTAAATCTTTATTGTCTAGATCTATCAATTTCTTGATATTCTTTAATTTAAGTTAGGTCAAAGTAATATATAATACTTTGATTTTAAATATATTCCATAAAAAGATAGAATGAGGATAATTTAAAGGTTATAAAATGCATATAATTGACATTTAAAATTTATTAGTTTCCTAATAGTGTATTTTAGACTTTGTTTTTATCATTGTTCAAATAAAAGTGAATCCTTTAAAACAAATTACATCTCTTTTTAGGATGAAAAATTACAATTTCACACTAGAATATATTACGCTGATTTAATTGCGTATTTGATAATGAAATGAGCATATCTTATTTAGTGTGATCATAAGAATAATAATAAAAACATTTAAGCAAATATTGTAAGATATTTAATAATATAATGAATTAGTCACAATTATAGACTTTTTCTTACAAATTAGTGCCATAGTCTTCTGTACATTAAAATTCTTTATATCGCGTAATTGCAATTAACAAAAATTAAACATTGCTTTTAGATTAAATGGAATACTTTATTAAATGTTGTGCATTTAAAAGTGGAGAGATAAATTATTATAACTATTTAATTTTAGAAATGTTATTTACTATACTTTAAATTTTCAAAACTAGAAATAAGATATTATTTTAGGTTCAAATACATTCATTTGTAAATATTCATCAAGGTTAATGGCTAATACAAAATATATTTAAAAATTTTATGGATATTTAATATAAGGTGCTTAATTTTGCACACTTTTTGAATGAAAACATGATTATTAAGGGTAGTAATATAGGTTTTTTATTTACTAATTAAATTGGAAGTAATAAACCTTTTTAATAAACTATAAAAGAACATATTAGTGTATTTGGATTATCAATAAAGGATTAAGGTACTAGATTAATATCTTGTGGAAAGGACTATTTCATTTTAATAATTGAACCTACTAATTCTGAGTTGTAAAAATACATTTGGACAATAAAATAGAAACTAATTGTTGAACAATATAGTTATAATTAGTCTTACATGAATTTTTATTGTGAAAAAAATGATTTATATCACAAATAAAGTTAGCGCTTACTAAATTCTAATAAATAAGATTAATTTTGTATCTTCTAATAAGTATATAATTAAAAAAAGTCTTTTATTTTCAATATATATGGAAGAGTACTATAAATAATTAGGGTTTCAAATAATCAACCATTAAATTCAGGATTAACTTATGAATTATTATAATTAGAATAAAGTATTGATTTTGGAAATAGATATAATCCATGGATATACGGAATAATACGTGATGATGCAGAATATATAATAACTTGGGATTTGAATCAGAGTAGATATAAATTAAATAATTTTAGATTAATAATTGAAATAATTTATTTTATCATCAATTATATAATAAAATAATTATATAAATGGATGAGAATAATTGTAAAAATTAAATAAAGAGTAAAGAGATATACTATATTAAGATGAGTAGAATATAATTAAGTATTCAACTTAATATCTTAATTTAATACTTGAAATTATTCTATAAGACTTTCTTTGCCTTATATATAAGAAATGCAACCATCTAATTAATTAAGTCAATTGTTTATTTATTTGAGAAAGTTTATGTATTATATAAATTTAAATTATGTTTTTGTGAAACCTTATAAATCCTCTGAAGATTATGAACATCATTTGAAGAGAGATGAAATATGATACTTTTGAATTATAAGATTATACAAAATATATTATTTATTTTTAAGTTTTAAAATTTTCATAAATCTTAAATTTTTTCTTGAATATTAACATTAAATAATTTTATATCATTTTATATTTTTTAAATATATTTATATATCAATTCTTTTGAGGCTTATAATATTATTACCAATAGCTTTGATACATTTGCCAGATATAATCTTATATTTCTTGATTTGTAAACACTTCTTTATTAGGTATATTTTGAGTCTAATTCATCTAAGTTATTTTAAGTATAAATTTTTCTATCAAATCTTTTTGATTATACTAATAAGAATAAAAGCCCTTATCTATTGTTCCTTTATTATTTGAGACAAGATCACTAATTAAATTTGTCTATAATTCCTGATAACTTCTAGTATAATAATAATCAACGAACAATTGAAAATAATAATGTAATATTATTTAATGTCTTAACTATCTATTAGATTCTAAAAATTTTGCAAACTGTATTTCATAATAGTTTTGGTTTTTAGGATCATTTATGGTCTGGATGACCCAATTATACAAGCTTGTTATTTCCCTATCAAAAACCTATTAGATTCCTGTTTAATTAAAATATCCTAAGAATTAAAAAAAACTAATTAATTTCTATTATTCATTATTATTTTTAAATGTTGTCTAATCTTGTGTTTAGTAAGCATTTGAAGTAGTAAATTATTATGGATTAGCAATGTTTACAATATTATCTTATTAGCCCTGAAAATATGTCTCTTATTTATTATTTAACTATGTTTAATTATTTTATGGATTAATTTAATTCAACTTTTATTTAGTCATATGAAAATATACACTATAATTAAATATATAATTACTATGCTCTATCTAATAATTATTATTAAGTTGGTTTCTAATAGCTCCCATTCTGTCTTACTTAATTTGTCTAATGATCTACAACTTGTATTGATGAAATTATTTTTGATAAAACTTACTCATTAAATTAAGGTACATAGTTAGTACTTTATAATTAAAATTGATTCAAATGAAGCTTGTCATCTTCATAATTTTATATAAACTAATTTAAATAATCTTTGGTTGGATCTTAATGTTAATTTTAAGTTCCACCTTAATTCATAAGTTCTTGAGCCACATATTTAAGAGTCTATAATGCAATACTTTTTTCATTTTTTAATTTATTCTTTAATTCATTTTTATATTAATATTACAAATCTGTGTGAATTCCACTTGATAAATTTAATTATAAAATAACTTTGTTATTACTCAAAATAACTAAAGGATTAGTAGGATCATCCTAAAAATATTCATGGATAGCTTTTCTTGAATATAATAAATTAATCAAGTTTTATAAGTCTTAATATACATAGTATTCGATAAGTGCTTCCTCTTATTGTTATTATTGTTTATAGATTTATGTCTGATTATATGATTGTTAAGTTTCTATTTTATTCATAAAATTATTAATTATTTCAAATCACTCAGGTTTCAAATTTAAAATGGGGTAAATAGAATAAAAATTAAATACTATTATATAATAATAGAAAATTAATTTAATAATGATGTTATTTGATAAAATTACAGATTATAACTAAAGTGAATTTTGAATTAAGACAATTAAATTGAAACCAATATTTTAAAAAGTAACTTCTCCACTTTTGTATAAATAAATTATATCCATAAAAATGAAAAAGATTTTATTCAAATTCACTTAAATACATTATTTGATAAGTAAGTAGAGATAATATATGTATGATACTTATTTTAATGGGTATTATGTTCATATTGATTGTTAAAAAATATAATAAAAATAGATTTTTGAGTATTATATATAATCATATTCTATTATTATAATAATTATTTATCTATATTATTTTGAAAGAGTTAGATTATGGTTTCTTTAATAAGATGTTACTCTTAGTTTATTGCACTAATAACTTCAATATGTAGTTCAAATAAAGAGAATTAAGTAACATCAAATCTAAAGTAAGGTTTTATATTTGATTAATAAATTATGAATTTAGTTAATTTTGCCTAGTCATATATATTTATTAAAATGGAAATTGAGTAAATTGAGAAAGAATAATATCTTTAATAATTGAATTAAATTAGCCATAAAGATTGATTAATAACGAGATCTAATTCATAAATATATAAATGCAATAAAATATTTTATTGTGTATTGAAGTATTAATTAAAATCATAATTTATAGATAAATACAAATATTAATATAACCCTTTATGACTGGAATTGCATAATTGATATACATATCTAAGTTCTTTAATAAACCATTATTAATCAATGAGTTTGTCCAATAACTTTGTAGCATCTTGATAGTTTAAAATATCCAATTTTCTCCATTCAAAAGAGAAGAATATTAATCAGCCATTGTACTAGGCCAACTTAGTAAATTCCTTAATTGAACTTCCACTCCTGCTAAATCTTTTCCAATTCCAAAGATTTTTAAACACGTATTATTTTTGTAAATATTTCTCCAACTTTTACAAAATTCATAGTTCTCTCAATGCAAGGTTTGGAAGATTATAATTTATTATAACTTAAACAATCATTGTTTTTTTCTTCAGTTCCAACGACTTATTAGTTTCCTTGGTCTGTGGATGTAAAAATAGATTAATAAAAATACCTTATAAATATATCTTAATTTTGGCATGAAATTAATTTACAATAAATTTTTATTCAATATTTTTTTTTATTGTAATACTTTTTTTCCAATTCAAATTCTATTTGAGAATATTAAAATTAAACCCAAAATTTAGGATTACTTGCTTGAATTATTAGAAAAGTAATAATAATACAAATTGTTTCTTTTTATTCAAAGTTAAAAAATGTTTCTAATAACTAATCGTTTGTGGAATATCATAAATTTTCTCATAATAATTTCATTCTAATATTAGAAATACTACTAATAAGAAATATAAATGTTAGGTTCAAAAAAGCATCTAAACAATTAAATAAATAAATTAGAATTAAAAATTTTAATTATGACTTTTTGTCTGAACTTTTAATTTTTAAGTATTATAAGGATTTTTAATGATGGCTCAAAGCACTCCAAATGGATTTAAAGTTACTTAAGTGTAAACTAACCTTAGGAATTATAATGTTCAACTCAAATTTTGTAAAAAATTTTGCAGATGTTCATATGTATCCTTTAATTTTATTGACAAAGTCTTTGCAATAGCACTTCAATAAAAATGAGAAATTTTCAAATGATTCTGAATAAAAGCATAATAAAAGTAAAAAAATTTTGAGGGCAATTAGATACTTGGTTTTACCCCTATAAACTCAATAATTAAATCCAATATTTTTGAAAACATCTTTCATAATGCCTAAAGTGGGTTTGGAATGTTTTCAACTGAAAATTGATGAGGGAAGCCAATCTGAAAGTTCTGGTAGTACTTGTTACAAAAAATAGTGAAATGGCTAAAAGGATATGGGGATAATTCAAAAATCTTGATATTCNGTTAATTTTGCCTAGTCATATATATTTATTAAAATGGAAATTGAGTAAATTGAGAAAGAATAATATCTTTAATAATTGAATTAAATTAGCCATAAAGATTGATTAATAACGAGATCTAATTCATAAATATATAAATGCAATAAAATATTTTATTGTGTATTGAAGTATTAATTAAAATCATAATTTATAGATAAATACAAATATTAATATAACCCTTTATGACTGGAATTGCATAATTGATATACATATCTAAGTTCTTTAATAAACCATTATTAATCAATGAGTTTGTCCAATAACTTTGTAGCATCTTGATAGTTTAAAATATCCAATTTTCTCCATTCAAAAGAGAAGAATATTAATCAGCCATTGTACTAGGCCAACTTAGTAAATTCCTTAATTGAACTTCCACTCCTGCTAAATCTTTTCCAATTCCAAAGATTTTTAAACACGTATTATTTTTGTAAATATTTCTCCAACTTTTACAAAATTCATAGTTCTCTCAATGCAAGGTTTGGAAGATTATAATTTATTATAACTTAAACAATCATTGTTTTTTTCTTCAGTTCCAACGACTTATTAGTTTCCTTGGTCTGTGGATGTAAAAATAGATTAATAAAAATACCTTATAAATATATCTTAATTTTGGCATGAAATTAATTTACAATAAATTTTTATTCAATATTTTTTTTTATTGTAATACTTTTTTTCCAATTCAAATTCTATTTGAGAATATTAAAATTAAACCCAAAATTTAGGATTACTTGCTTGAATTATTAGAAAAGTAATAATAATACAAATTGTTTCTTTTTATTCAAAGTTAAAAAATGTTTCTAATAACTAATCGTTTGTGGAATATCATAAATTTTCTCATAATAATTTCATTCTAATATTAGAAATACTACTAATAAGAAATATAAATGTTAGGTTCAAAAAAGCATCTAAACAATTAAATAAATAAATTAGAATTAAAAATTTTAATTATGACTTTTTGTCTGAACTTTTAATTTTTAAGTATTATAAGGATTTTTAATGATGGCTCAAAGCACTCCAAATGGATTTAAAGTTACTTAAGTGTAAACTAACCTTAGGAATTATAATGTTCAACTCAAATTTTGTAAAAAATTTTGCAGATGTTCATATGTATCCTTTAATTTTATTGACAAAGTCTTTGCAATAGCACTTCAATAAAAATGAGAAATTTTCAAATGATTCTGAATAAAAGCATAATAAAAGTAAAAAAATTTTGAGGGCAATTAGATACTTGGTTTTACCCCTATAAACTCAATAATTAAATCCAATATTTTTGAAAACATCTTTCATAATGCCTAAAGTGGGTTTGGAATGTTTTCAACTGAAAATTGATGAGGGAAGCCAATCTGAAAGTTCTGGTAGTACTTGTTACAAAAAATAGTGAAATGGCTAAAAGGATATGGGGATAATTCAAAAATCTTGATATTCATGATTTCTAAATTGTTTTATGTAGACCATTCCTATGTTCTCTTAGGTTACTTCTAATTTAATTATATTAGGATAAAAAATAATCTAAGTAAATATATTAATTGAGGCTTTATTATCCTAGTTATTTTCATCTCTTTGTTAATATCTAAATAATTCTTTGTAATTTCTGTGGATAAATAGTTTTATAAGGAATTAATATAATTAATTTATTTATTTGGGAATAAAATAAAAAAACTTTCTTTAAAGTAAGCACTTTTCATTTAATCAATATGTTAAAATATCTATTAAGAAATCCATTACAAATATTTACTAAATAAAAATATTGTAAAGTTTATTATCCTACTCATTTTCATTTATAAGATGAATACCAAACCTAAATTATTGGTTGAGTAAAAACTGAAATTGTCTAAAATAAAAGTTTATTAAGTGAGGAGATTATAACTTACCTAAATTAAACATTATAAAAATTACCTTTCCTTAGATCTTGTTAATTACTTTAATAAATATTTAATTTAAAATAGTAAAATCCTTTTTGTGGGTAAACTTAGAGATCTTTTGCAAAGAAAAATTGAATAGATACAAAGTAATGATCATTTAAAATATTTCTGTCATAAAAGTAACCATTTTCACTATTTTGAAGATGAAATCTGATAAAAATTCCAGAGTTGTGAGGATCAACTATCATGAAGATTAAGAGAATACTTAATTATAGCATTGATCTCGAATTATATAGAGAAAGTATTTTGAATATTAGTCCTATATTATCAATAAAGAATTAATGAATAAAAAGGCTCTCTTATTTAATATTTAGTTACACCAATTCTAGGCACATATTTCATCAATTATGTTTGTTTATTTGAAATTTGAGTATAATTAATAATACCAAAAAATTGGAGTTTATTAGTTAAATATTCTCTAATATCAAAATTTAAGGGAACTTATTTTGATATAAGTTTCATTCAATCCAACAAAATCTGATCATCTAGTGATTTCAAAATAAAATAAAAAGTACAAATAAAAAAGAATATTTTTATTATGGTTTTAGAATTCTGTATTTATTAGAATACATTACGGTGAAAAATAATTTCTATATGATTGAGGAAATCAAGCAGACAGTGATGTATGCTTTTGTGGGTAACCTTCTAAATAGATAAAACCTGTTGTAAAATTTAAGAAATAAAATCTAGACACCTTAGATGATCCAAACTCATAACACTATTTCAATAATCTTCACAACTGAATTAGGATCCGCTGAAAATAAGTAAAGCTGGATATGTAATTAAATTAATCTGATTAAGAATTAATAATTGATTATGATTTAGATAGACTTCCATTAGATCATGTATGTGAAGTGAGAATTCTACCAATATTAATGGATAAAAAGAGCTTGTTTCTTTTAAACAAAAAAAAAAAATAAAATACTGATAAATTTTAAAAACTGATTATTAGTAAATTTTTACAATATATCATATTGTTTTCAAAATTTGGTTGAGTACCATTATAAATTGGATGGTTATTTAATATTTAATGAAATATAAATATTATCTAAAAGTTATTCTATTCAAAAAGTGAAAGTTAAGGATCCAAAATAAATGAAATAGTTAAAAAGTGCGCTTGAATTTCATTATCCAATAATTTCTCAAATATGTTTCT